TAACGTACGTTTAAAATGCGGTAATTACTTTAGCGTATTGCGCTAAGCATGCCTTTTACGGGCTTTTTAAAATATGCTATACTTTGCATGTCCTTTAAGATTTAAATATATCGCATTATTAATTTGGGGCGTTCCCCGTACTATACCGTTTTTACCTAACTTTTTGTTTATAGGGCACGATATTTTACGGCTATTACAAACCGTTTACGGGTTTTTTTACGTTTTTTTTTAGTGGTTAGCCGGTTCGGCACGTTAAAACATTTTTTTGGGCCATTTTTTTAGCCTTTGTTATTTTTTTTTGTAATACCCCCGTCCTTTCCGGGTATTTACCCGTTAAGGTTCGGTATTTTCCTTATTTTGTAAATTTGCTTTTAATAAATTTGCTTTATACGCTTAAATAATTTTTTTCGTAATATTTTTTTTAAAATTTATAAATTTTCCAATTCGTTGTAATTTGTTTATTTAACCAAATATTTTCGTTTTTGCAAAAGCCCTTTGTATTTTAGCAAAGCTTTTATTTCGAAGCGATTTTTTTTTTTCTTTTAATTTTTGGTTTTTTGTTTTTTGGTTTTTTGCCGGGCCTTTTTTTAAACGCTCGCAATAAATTTGCCGGGAATACGTTGTATATCCGGTAATTTACCGAAAGCTTTAACCGGAACGCCAAACCGGCTAACCCAACCATTTTTAAAACCTAAAAGGGTTTTAACCATTTATTTAATAGCTTTTTCGACGGCCTTTTTATTTTAATGTTCGCCGTATTTAGCAATACCCAATTGCTTACCCCAAAAAGCACCGGGGTTTTGCTTTTATTATAGTACTTTTTGTACGTATTATTCGCTTTTTTTAGCAATTTTTTGGCTTGCTTTTTAATTGCTTCCAAAGCCCCCCGCCTTAATTTTAACCGTTATTAAAGGTTTTTTTTAACTACCCAAAAGTTATAAAGCTTTCGTAAATAAAACCCCATTAGCAAAAACGCCGGGGTTTTTTTGCAACCCCAAATGCACGCTCGTATTGTGCACTTACGTTGCCAGGTATAACAACGACGCCCAATCGTTTTA